CCCAACAGCGCTGCTGATGCCTGAACGGTATGTGGAATGAAGTGGGCGGGCATCGGGAGGCCACTATGGCACGGGGCAAGCACTATGGGCAGTCTATCTGAAGTGTACCTGGCATATAAGACGACACCCCACTTGGAGGCATATTTTTCAGGGCCAAAAAATCGTCTTATACGCCGGCAAATACGGTATAATATATTTTAAATAAGTAAAATAGAAGATTTGAAAACTAATCTTTATTTATGGTATTGAACTTCAAGTGTAATATATTCCTTAAAAAACAACTTTAATAAAAATGGAAACTAAACTGCATCTCGTCTTTAACACTGCCAGGTGGTTGTTTGGTTTTGTTTTTAAGTCCTCAGCCGAGGAGTGAAGATATTTTTTCCATTGATTTTTAGAGAGAGTAGAAAGGAGGGAGGAGGGAGAGAGAAACATCAATGTGAGAGAGACACATTGATTGGTTGCCTCCCACACACGCCCTGAGTCGGGGAGGGGTTCACACCTGCAACCCAGGTACGTGCCCCTGACCAGAAATCAAACCTGTGACCCTCTGGTCCAGGGCTGATGCTCTAACCACTGGGAACACCAGCCAAGCCAACACTCAGTTTTTAAAAACCTGGATGGGGAACATAAACACAGCCAGTACTCTGCATGGAGAAGATGAGGTGTTTATTATGAAGCATAATTCAGTTTTTATTTTAACTGGAGTAAAATTGTCCTACTTAAAGAATGAGGACACCCTAACCGGTTTGGCTCAGTGGATAGAGCGTCCGCCTGCGGACTGAATGGTCCCAGGTTCGATTCCAGCCAAGGGCATGTACCTGGGATGCGGGCACATCCTCAAGTGGGGGTCAGCAGGAGGCAGCTGATCGATGTTTCTTACTCTATCCCTCTCCCTTCCTCTCTGTAAAAAATCAATAAAATATATTTTTTAAAAAAGAATGAGGACAGATGTTATGAAAAGCTACAGGGAATAGCCCACCTCACACAGTTAAACAGAAAAGAGAACAGACAATCCAGGGCATCCACCACTGGCTGGACATGCTCCCGTCCCTTCTGCTCTGTGCTGTGGGCCAGGACCTGCGTGGCCACCCTGGTGCATTCAAGTGCCACACTGTGGTGGTGGCAAGTTACTTGTGTCTAGTCTCGGAGTGAGGTTCTTCCTCATGACCTGAAAGTAGTTTGAGAGCATGTCCCTGGGACATGCCTTCTCCATGTGCACGTAGCCATTCTGCCCTGTGGCACAGAGCCAAGCACTTTGTGAAAATGAGTGAACGTAGCCTGTGTGACCGGATTGCTGAGCTGAAATCTTTGGGGGAAATTTTAATATTTGCCAGTGTACTTGTTATGCCCAGATTTCAAGACCCCACCCCCACCCCCCCCACAGAACCACCAGGGAGCGCCGAGTCCGATGCAAAAGCATAGAGTCTTTTATTCAAGCTAGCTTGGTCTCTCTGCCTCCATGACTGGATGCAAGAGAGCCCAGGGTCCCAAGAGAACAAAGAATTTATAGGGCTTGGGGTTGGGGGGTGGAGGCACTTGGTCGATTCCGGTTGGTTGAGTGAGGGCCGGGGGGCTAGTTTTCTTGCTTTCCCATTGGCTGAGATAAGGGAAAT